TATAATATATATATATATATATTTATATATGGGGTTTATTCTCCTTATTTCACTTTAGATGATAAGGGGACGGCTAGTTGAAGTCCCTCACAATCACTTGGGCAAACTATACGTTTCCATTGAATTGCACATAGCCTTGTTTTCCCAAAAGATATTCTCATTCAAATGTGCTCCATCGAAACGACCCCTATGAAAACGATTTGCTTGGTGTTCAGTCTTCCTTGTGACCCAGTGGTGACATATTGAACATGCTAGACATGTAGAATGTTCTTTTAAGAGACTAGGCTAGATGACACTCAATGCACACTAGCATAATTGAGGGAAAAATCAAATATCAGCCTCTCATCACCTCTAACGACCCAGGATGATTACGGTACAGAATGAAGGAGGTTAGCAATATTAGAGCATTCTTCCTAGTCAAAAATCCTCGTACCCATTCTATTCATTCTCTCCCTCTCGGAGCTGACCACATTGTGTCACATGTTCCCCGAAAGCCGGTATCCTCTTTGGGTAAATGGGGCGATATCCCCAATTCATCATAAATCAGCGCTCATATTTGCACGTGTCCTAAAACGCGTCTGTGCATGCTAGCATACAAACGAGCCCACTTGCATGCATGTTTTGGTGCGACAGACAACCGAATGCCCAGAAGGAATTGCGCCAGATTAGCATGGCAATCTGTTGTGACCATTGCTTCACAGTTGGCGTATGAGCCGGGCATGTGAAAGCAAGTTGAGAGTAGAGATGGCATTCATGCCTGGCGAAGTGCCAAACCCCGACAAGCCTGACGGTCTCCTGTGCCGACCTGGTTTCGGAGGCTGTGACCTCTCTGGGACACATTTCTGTGTGCAGGGGGCACTTGGGCACGTGAACTGGGAAAAAAGGGGGTTGACTGTTGCCCCGAGCCGGCAGAGGACGCAGTTGTCGAGGCGTATTCTGCCTCTACGTCCATTTCGCGACGTGGCTCTCGCACCGGCTGACAGGCGATGTATCGTCTTAGGGTGGGGATTGAGTGTGATTGTGTAGAGGTGGCATCGCTGGTGCAAGCCGCCAGAGTGGGGTTGGTTGGAGGAAAAGGCCTCGAGAGGATGATGGAACTGTGGCAATCGAGTCAAGTGGCGTGGACACAAGAGTATGGCAAACCGACTGGGGTTGGGAGGTCTGCCGAATGGACGGGCCAGAAGGTATGAAGCGAAGGGACGAGGCGGTCTGGAGAATGTATTGCGTGCGGGTTATGAATCATTCTGCCAGGCTAAGTGACTAACACCGAGTTGTTTGGTCTCTTCCTGGCCAGGCCTAGAAAAGTGTATCGGATAGACCCTGGGCTATTTCGATTGTGAACTAGTAACTGGTAGTCAGGTGGCCAGGCCTGATAAATGGTTTTGCGGAAAAAAACACAATCTGTGTTGAACAGATTTCAGTTGAAGGCAAATCTGGGATAGAACCTAAAAGTCGTGACTCTAAACAACATTTTTGACTTTTCAGTAGCTTTGGAGACTAACGGTAGATCATGTCTAAGAGCAGTAGACATCCTATTTCGTTGGATGTGATCAAGGACTGGCAATTGCATTCAACCACATTCACCTTCACACAAAATTTCGCATAGCCTTGCTCACCAAAAAGTATTCTACTCTGCACTTTCGACCTCGATTAGGCCTCATCCGCATCCAACGCCGGACTGGAACCCGAAGAGTGCAGCTTATAGGCTAGAGGGGTTAATGTAGCGCAGAAATGTACGTGTAAAAACAATACGCTACTCTTCTCGTGTTCGAGTCCGGCTGGGGCTAGGGATGAGACCTAGACTAGGCTGAACCTGCGGTCTAGCCTTCATGAGAATACTTTTTGGGGAACAAGGCTAAGCGAAATCCTGTCTTTCTTCACCTTCAAAGAAGGAAAGAGAGTGAATTCACCTCTTCTTCATATAATAAGCCAAACCCTTGCTTCTAGAATGCTGCATAAGTGCCTCATCAGCAGTCCCTTGCGATGGGATACTCATGTTTGTGCATGTGGATTTGTTGATGAATGAGTATGTTCGGGTGTACTGTGTAATGTTGGCATGCGAGCCTTCTATGATTCATGGGTCTTGGGGAAGATCAGGTATGCGGGTTTAGGTTCAATGTTGGTTTGTTTGAGACTTTGAGTAATTTTTGAATAAGCGTTATATTTTTCGTTTTGTATAGGTTTTCGAGACTAACATTACATCAAATACATGAAATGTGAAATTCTATGGAAACGTCATGTCTACTCATATAAGTGTTGGAAAATTAAACTACCAGTCCTTGATCGCCTCAAGCGAAATAGGGTGAGCACAGTTCATATATCTGATTTGCGGATAGTCTCTAAAATCTAGCCAAAGCGAA